GTTTGTGTGGCTACTTGTTCCTGGTTGCCTCCCCCACTGCGTGCATCAGTCCCAATGTCTAGTCCAGTCCCTGACACCTAGTAGGCACCGTGCTCTGTGTCTGTTGACTGCCGGGGAAGGATTGTAAAGATGAAGGCATCCCTGCCTGCTCATAACCGTGGGGCACACGTGCGGGACAGGGACTCGGTCTTCCCTTAATAGCAGCATGCCAGCCAAGCCCAGCCTCTTCTCCCTGTTCAGCCCTTCAGTGCACTTCTTACTGAGAGCTACCACATTATCGTTCGAGTTCTGACCACCCTTGGGCTAAGGTTTGGCTACCCGTCAGGAAGCTTGTAGCTTCTGTAACCTGAAGGCCTTTCCTGTCTTTAATTCTCCTGGACGGCTTCTAGGTTCTCCTGGCATCTTGCCTTCCCTGTGATCTTCTGCGTTTGCAGAATAAGCTGTCTCCCAGCTGGTCCCCCAGTTCCCATATCTACCCAATATCAACTCGCTTTTTATATCTATACCCAGAAGATGCCTGCGATCATAGGCGCTCACTGTGGGCAGCGGTGCCCCACCGTGACCTTCTGCTAGCCCGGATCACTCTGCCAGTCTTCTCACCATTCACAAATACCAGGTTACACTTGACATCTGCTTTTATAAAATTGTTTTCAATGCCCTAGAAATCCACGAGGAAACCATAAATCCACGAAGAATATTGATGTCGATATCGTTTTTATTCCGTAATTTAGTCAGAATCCTGAGAAGATTAATCAACTCCATTGTAACTGAAAATTCATTCATATTACCCTCCAGGGAAACTACTCTGAACTTTTCGGGACTGATCTCTTTTTCTGATACTTCAGACACTATATATTTTTTTAAATTAATGCTTTCTGGTTTTGATAGTTAACCTTTTTTCTCCCAATGTGTTTTTCCCCCCAAAACATACTCAGATGCTGACAGAATGCACCCCCCGTGGTTGTCTTATTTGCTGCCCTCTGGTGTCATTTTCGGTGTAAAGGAAACACGCCCTAGTTTCTACGTCTTGGTGGCAATGTCCAAGTCTGATGTTAAATAATTCTGTGTGATATCTGTTTTCGTGCACTTTAAGATTCCCTGCTAGGGTTCCGAAAGTGCACAGGTACTCAGCCAGTTGTTGCCCTTTATTGTTTGCATTGCTTATCAGCGAGGAGGAGAAGCAAGTAGAAAGGGGCAAAGATAGCCAGGGCCGGTTCCCTCACTGCTCACTTGTCTCCCAACTCTTCCCGGCCTCAGCGACCAGTAAGTTCCATCCCCACTCACGGAAGGGCCAACACAAATGAAGGGGAAAGTAGACACTCATAAAAAGAGCGTCCCCCAAACTCACATGAAGTTTCATTCCATCCTCAGTAACTGCATCTTGGGTCAGGCCTTTGTTTACCACTCTCTAACCCAGCATCCAGAGGAGGCAGGCGCATGGCCATACCACCCGTGTTCTAGTGGCCCCGCTCTCCTGCCACTCACCACCCCCCTCCCACTTTGTACTCCGGTGTTTAACCTTTCCGGTAGAAGATCAATACAAATTCTTCATTGTTACGAATCGATGGCTGTCCCGTGGCATCACTGCCATCTAGTCTTGCTGAGAAGCCCAGTAAATCTCCCCAGCTGCTTCGCAAGCTTGGTTTGTCAGCCTCAGTTGCGTTCATTTTTAATGCAGATCACTTTGGTTTCTGTTCCCCCGGGGGCTTGCAAATAAATCTTGGCAGACATGTTCAGGGTCTACAAATGAGATGCTGGAAAAGGGCCAGCCCACCCAGAATTTGGTTGTAATGGATGCGACACCCCCTTGGTTCCACTCAAAGACCGGGTCATCCGTTTCCGTATTTATGGGTGATTAGCTCATATAATACCTGGGTGGGAAGTAGCCAGGGTGAAGTTCCTGTGTAACAGGGCAGGCCTACATCTGAGGCCGCGATGCAGGAGTATGTGGGCTGTCTCCGCCCCTCCTGGACAGAAGCAGAAGTCGGAGACTCCGCTGGACCTTCGACTGCGTAAGGAAGCGAGAGAAGGGTAGTTCAGATGCCCCGGATCAAGAAAGTCTGGCGGAAACCTCTTTGAGCCGCTTATTTACAAACCAAGTGAAAAATGCCCTGCCTGATTTTCTTTTATTAATAAATAAATATCTGTATCGTGCATATTATTGAATAGCATCCGACTAGGGGTGATCTGTAAATATTTAATGTTAGTTAATGATCTTCTTCTCCCACAGTCCTTCGCTCTAGCTGAGTGTCTGGCTGTATCTCATCCCACCCCCCTGAATCTCGGGTTTCTGAGAGGCAATATCAGAACCCTGGTTTCCATGTGCAATAAAATGTGGCTCCCCAGGAAAGGCAGAGCCTCTTTAATTTTCATCTCCCCTCTCTCTGATCAGTGGACTACGCCAGTTACTATCAAGGGCTGTGGGATTGCCATGGTGACCAGCCAGATGAGCTGTCCTTCCAACGCGGTGACCTCATCCGAATTCTGAGCAAGGTAAGGATAGAGAGTGTGGGGCCCGGGGCCCAAGTGTGGTTTTTCACTGTAATCTGACCTGTCCCGAGGCAGACATTTCTTTCGTGTGTGTAAATTCCCATTAATTTGCCATTGTTAGTGGAAAATTTTACTGAAAGTTCAGATTTAGGAACCAGTTTTCAAGTTTAAAAATGTGACAGACACACCAAGCTGAAAAGAAAACCCAAGCCCATGGTCCCTGAGTCCACTGTGACTCACAGTGGCACCACAGGACAGAGCAGGGGTGCCTTGGGCAGCGGTTCTCAACCTGTGGGTCGCGACCCTTTTGGGGGTGGAACGACCCTTTCCCAGGGGTCGCCCGATTCATCATAGTAGCAAACTTACAGTGAGGATGTAGCAACGAAAATCATTTTCCGGTTGTGGGGTCACCACCACATGAGGAACCGCATGACAGGGTGGCGGCGTGAGGAGGGTTGAGAACCGCTGCCCTAGAGGGTTCCCAAGGCCACACCGTTCTCCTTTGTGACAGCTGGTGGGTTTGAACCACCAGCCTTTCAGTTAGCTGCCAATTGCTTAACCACTGCATCACCAGGACTCCTTGAACACAACCGTCAGACGAGGCAGATAAACTATTTTATCCTTCTCGGAGCCTTTTGGTGCGTAAAGGTCATCACTGTGTTCGTGATTTATCACCACATGATACTATTTGAGAAAGTTCAGTCTAGATGAGCCAGCTTCTCATTTCATTTATAGATAAGCAGGCCTGCTATGTGATTATGGGGGAAGGCATGGGGCTAGTTAACTCAGTGGGTTTGAGCACGGCTAATAAGGCAAATGTAGTGAGTCCAAACCCAAATGGACCAGCTAAAGATTCTGTTCCCCGGCGTTAATCCCTCGCCCTAGCTAGTCATCTCACAAGGAGTCTTAGCGGTCCTAAAGTACTGGGTAAAGAACAAGAAAAAACACAAACTCAGGGTCGTGCCCTGGTGTCTCCGCCCGATGTAAAGACTCAGAAGGCACCGGCGCGCCTGCTCAGACATGAGTAGAAAGACCACATAAGTGAGAGCTAAGGTTCTGTCCCTGAAAGAAGTTCTTTAAAAAGGTCAATCAATAGCTACAAAGGCACTTTTGGAGCCGGCCCAGTTTGCTCTTTAATTGCTGAGTGTGTGGATTGTGGGAAAGCGCTCCAGAGAACCCACCCACTTGCTCTTAACCCATCCTGTGCTGTTCATCCTGATGCTGTGGGTGTTGGTGCCTTGATTCACCCTGACTTGAAATCAAGCGTAATTTCCTTAGGGAAATAGGCCAGGTCTTAATCCACGGACCATTCAGTGGTTCCAACGAGCCCCCTTTAAATAATAGATCCGGCCCATAGGACGCAAGTAGGAAGCCTGCAGGCCCTGCTGAATGAAATCACAACCTTCTAGTGATTTCTTCCAGATTTCTAGCTCGACGCCACCCCGATGCCATTTCAGAACAGTTCCAATCCACCAAAAATAAATTGGAAGCAAAGAAGGGAGTGGACATTGGCCTGATTGGTATTTCAAATGCCCGAAAGCAAGGTTTGCCGTGTAATAGAATTTGTGTACATTACCACGCTGGCATTACAGGGGTAATCGAGTTATCCACTCAGGTGTGACCAGGCCTCTGTTTGCCCAGAGCCTGCAGGTGAACAAATTAACTGTTTACATTGTCTGGAGGTGCCTGCAGCAGGAGGGGGTGCCGAGCAGAGCCAGGCTGTCTGCTGGCCTTCTCTCTCTGTCATGATTATTTTGTTTGTTTTGTATGTCTTTTGCCTCTGTTAATAGCTTCGCACTGGGGTTCCCTCTTCCCCCTGTTAGAAGGGCCTGTACTGCGACCTGCCCACAGTACAGAGTCACCTGCAGTTACTTTTGACCCTTATGTTTGGAAGCGATCCCAAAGACCCTAAGGAACTGCCCTCATCTGGGTGTTCGCTCGTACGTTTTTAATCCAACCCCCCTTCCCTTCTTCCATTACTAAAAGCGAATGGGTCTGAATTAATTCAGTAACAACACCTTGTTGCCCTGGTTCCACTGGCTTCCCCCCTCCTCCCACTCCCCAATTCTTTCTGAACGGCTCTGAGTCTGTTTTCACCCCTGACATTGCCCTCGCACATTTCTTCTCCCCAAAGCGCTACCTGCTGCCTTGCTTACCCAAGTTGCTAGTTCCTGCCAGCTCAACTGAAGTGGCCCTCATGAAGCTTTCAGGCCTGTTCAGGTTAGCTTGAGAAACATTTGAGATCAGGTTTGCCTTTGTTATATTCCCTACCTCACTAAGAGCCCTTGGCTCAAGGAACCTTAAAAGGCCATGCAATGGGTCCCTTTGCCTCTAAGAAACACAGACAAGCCAAGCAGACAGACAGTAGAAGATGCCACTCCCAGGCCCGGCTGACTAGCTGTTGAGACCCTCAGTCACCTTGCACCTTGGCATTTTGCCTCCTGTAGAATCTAAGCTTCTCTCTGCATGGATTCTGAAGCTGAGAGCTACAGGGAAGGAAGCAGGTCCCGCCTGGGGATGTGGAGTCGGGCAAGCAGAGGCTGGGAGGAGAAGGGATGACAGCGTTATTCGTGGGTGCCTGCCGCACCCTACTGTTTCGTCAGGGTTGCCCGTGTAACCCAAGGTTAAACCCTAGACCTGTCTTTGGACAAGAGTGATCTC